GGGGGGGAGAGCCAAGAGGCTCAGGAAGCAGGTCAGGTGTTGTTGTTTTCCAATTTTGAAACCAAGTCAGTTCATTTGGACCCTTTGAAAGGCCCTCTCAACACCCCTGGGTTGGACTCCCTCCTGAGAGGTTGCAATGAGAGAAGTTGTTTCTCCTAATGGGTCAATGAGTGCCTCTTAACTGGCACTCCTTGGGCAGGAACCAGGGGGAGGAGATAGATGGATCTCCCAGGAAAGAGCACTGGTGGGAAGCAGGAGAGTAATTCTGATCTTCACTTTGTGGTTAACTATCAACATAGCTTGTGGGCTAGTCACTTAATTTCACAAGCCCTCAGTTTCTCCATGTGTAAAATGAAGGCATAGACCTGATGATCTTGAAAGTTTTTCACAATTCAAAAACCAAAAACAGGTCATGGTACCAGATACCCAGATAGTCTCCTTGAAGAGCCCTTGCTTTGCCATGTGGCCTGGCCCACTTCCCCACAGGGCCCCTGGAAACTCAGCTTGTTCAGGGCCCCTGGAAACTCAGCCATGTGTAGACATGGTTACCAACCAGACATAAATGCAAGTGGTCAGGCCTGGGTTAGGTTAACATTCCTCTCATTTCTTGCTGGAGGCCTATCAAGGCACCTCAGCTTCTCCTCTCAGACTAAATGGCAGGGAATTTAAAATCAGACTGTCCCTGTGCAGGTGTCCAAGTACGTTGTTGCATTTCTGCTAGGGTTACGGAGTTACCTCAGTTGTGTGGGTCTCTAAGAAAAGGATCTCAGTCTTGGTGACAAACCAACTTCTGAAATGGCTAAGACGAGAACAAGTGCAAAAATGGATTCTCAGATTTCTTGTTGAAAAACACAATGACTAAATCTGTAGTTAATTTTGCCCTATACTCTCAATACCCTGTTTATAATATACACAGTCAACTGAAGACATGCTTGTTTTTTAAGTCCAGTCTTTGCACTTTTGCTGGTTCATTTTGTGTCATTAATTCTGTTTGGGGCTGGAGAGAAGGACATGCCTGTGTAGATGGACTCAGGCTAGGCAGGGCCTCCACAGCAGCCTCCCTTTGCAGGCCTGGTAACAACATAGCTTAACAACAGAGCATAAGAGCTTCCATGAGCAATATGCCATTGTTACCCACCATGCTTCTCATGAAAGGAAACCTTGTGCTGACTGCCCTGGCTGTTCTTGGCAATGTGAATCTATATAAGGAGAACAGGATGTATTTTACACTTGGGACCTGCTATCCTAGAGTATAACAACAACACTTTTAAGTGCTCTTAATATTAAGCTAATGGAAAACATACTCTGTTTACTCACCATCAAAGTCTGTTTTTCTTCTCTCCCTCCTCCCCCAATCATCACAAACTCCAGGCCTCTAGAACACGCTGGGTATCTCCTGCTCCATCTATCCTACCCTCTGTCTCAAGGTTGACCTCTACATGCTTGGTTAGCTCAAGGTGGACTTGGAAAAACTAGGAATTTACCACACAAACCATATAATCCCCAGGTTGCACAAACCAAACATTTCCTTTTTCACCAAAGTCTCAGAGCTAGAAATGCTTGATTTATTGCTAGTATTATGTTTATTAGTGTGAGAAGTCATTTCTCCTCACCAGAGTGCAACAAAATGCAGTAGAAGGGAGAAGGTGGGCCACTTTTTCTGGGTGCTGCTATTATCAGAACGCTGGTCTATCCTTGTTATTTAATAGTGGGATTCCTCACCCTGAAGACGGGGACTTGGCCAAAGTTATCGTAACCCCAGAAGTCTAGTATTTATTCTCCACTACTTTGTGTTGTAAGAAGCCATGTCTATATGGGGTATTTCGCTGATGGGATTCTAGAGTGTGGCCCAACCAAGTCCTGAATGTCTAAGATTTCCCTGTCTTTGGAGGTGCTATTTGAAGTACATATTGTTTTTTGCTTGGGCGTGTCAAGTAAAGTAAATGTATGCATGTAAACCAGCCTTGCAGATAAATCCCTCCATTTTACAGTCTACCCCATAATATTGCCAATTTCCCCCTTGCTATTTACATATCTCTTATTATAAGACAATAAACAAACAATAACAATCAAGCAAATGAACCAAAGACTCCCCCACCCCCGCCAAAAACAAACCCCTTCTGTTTTGTTGAAAAAGACTAAAATCAAAAACAAAACAAAATTGTGGAAATAACTTCATCACAGTTTTTTTGGGTTTTGTTTTGTTTATTTATTTATTTTTTTGATATAGGCCTTGGGCCTGTTAACTATCTGCAAGGCTGTTGTAATGATGTTAATCTATTTTAATGGAATTGAAATGTGATATCCTGTGGTTTACGATGCACATTGTTTATAGCTTTGGTGCTTGATTTTGGGTTTCTTTCACAGATAAACTTCTGCACTGGAGGGGCCTCTCCTCCCCTCGTTCTGCACATGGAGCTCTAATCCCCACGCCCGGGATGAGTGCAGAATATACCCCGCAGGGTATTTGTAAGTTGAGCATTATTTCTTCTACAAATGTCCATGTGTATAGAGATGAGAGTTTCTGGAAATTACCCTTACTTTTTAAGTACTGAAAGGAGTTACTTCCAAAATAGATTGGCATCCACATATGTATTATTCCATTACTCACTTGGCACCCTTTCCCTGCTCCACTCAACCCCCTCCTCTTTTTTGTGTCATTCCCATGGAGCTGACAGTAGCTCATCCCTGTAGGTCTCCTCCCCAGGGTCTTACCTGGCTCCACAGCTGGTGACCATAGATCTCTGTGTGTCCAGGGCCCATTTTATTGCTGGACATTCACTTCCATGGCCTCATTTAGGACTTTGAGTTTATTCCATGGCATACCTGTTAGCAGAGGCCAGAATCAAAAGAGGTCAGTTTAGAGTTACTCTACAGTTATTCTCATGCATGTTATAGATGCATTTACATGTGTATTTAAACATGGTATATTTGTATATATACATGGCGCGTTATATATGTGCACACACAGACGATTTCTACGTGTTTTTCTCCTAGTTTTAGAGAAAAATGCACAGCATTGTTGCTTAAATTCAAAGATACCACTACCACCACCATCACCACCATTAACACCATCCGCTTATGTGTGCAAACCGACTTTTATCTTTTTATGAAATTCAGATTTATATGTTTATGAAAATGTTTTTGAAAGATGTTGTTCTAGAAGGTAATACAGTTTGCTTTTCTGTGTAGTAATAAATGATATGAGTCATGCATGGCTAAAAAGTTGGGTGGGGGTAGGGGTCGATTCTGCCCCAAACACAAAAAAGCAGGTTCAAGGAAAAAAAAAAAAAAAAAAAAAAAAAAAAAAAAAAAGAAGTGTGACACCTACCTCATTTTTATTTAAGGAATTAATTTTTATTTCGAAAGTCAGTGAAAGGTTACCTGTTGTGGAAAGAAGAAAAGAAAGAACATAAAGAAGAGCATAATGGTGGGGAGTTCAGCCATACAGGGGACCTGGTTTTAGATGGGAGAGATAAAGTACACCCAGCCATCTTGTGAATGGTGTCTGCCTGCAGGGCAGGGCATGCGCCCTGAGACCAAATTTGAAGCCAGTTGTTTATTTTGTTAACTCCTAGGTAATCCTAGGTAACAAAGAGTTATTGTGTGAATTTCACAAGTCCTCAAGTCCTGAGGGCTGGGCGGTGCAGGGGTTAAAAGCACCTCTTCTGCCATCCCCTCCCCGACACGAAGCTGGGCCTAAGACTGGGTTAGGTCACCGATTGCAGAGTTTAGGGGGTTGGACTCACAGTTTCGAGTCCCTACATGCTGGCTGGGTGGGGAGAGCTCTCCTCCTTTTGCTGGGGGTGCCTGGGGCCCCCGCACTGGGCTGTGGGAACAGAGCCACCCCCTTGGAGGGAAGGGATGAGAAGGGAGTAGGGCAGCAGAGAGGAGGGTGGAGCTGAGTGGCCAAGGGCTGCTGGCCTGGGAATCAGTTCAAGGTCTCTGCCTCTTCCGCTGACCCTCCTGAGGGCAGGGGTGGGAAACTAGGAGCCTGCTGCAGAATCCATGTCTTCTCCCCCTCTTCCTGCAAAGGGAGGGTACCTAGTTTGCTGGTGCCCATGCTGGCAGGACCAGTTTAGGAGTGACCAGACAAGGTATGTGGAAATGGGTTGTGGAGTTCCAGAAAGCATTCAGCAGAGCTGACCCCCAGGCCACTCAGCTGCCTTAACCAGCTGCCCTTGGCTTTCAGAGCACTGAGCACTTAGCACTTCCCTGTGGCATCCCTGCTGGTGGACCACAGTCATGGGCCTTAAAATGGCCCCTCCTGCCACCCTCTAGCCAGGACCTCCCTCCCTTTGGCCTGAGGCCTGGATTCTAGATTCTGGATTCCAGCCTTCTTCTGGAAGCCTTTCTGGGTGTACAACCTGGTCAGTCATCATGCTAGGTAACTAATCAAGCCTGGGAGTAATGAAAACTCACATTCACCTTGGACCTGGTAGTTTACAAATGGCTTTTATACACGTCTGTCATTTGAACCTCACAATTCTGTAAGGTACTGTTTTTGTGCTCATTTTACAGATAGGAAACCTAAGGCTCAAAGAAATTAAGTGTCTCAGAGCCCGTAAGCTGGCAAATAGTAGAGCCAGGCCTCTGGTGTCAGACTTCCTTGTTTTTCTCAATCCTGAGGCTTAGATCACATGACTCTTTAGCATTGGTGACAAACTAAAAATGGGGTTATTCCTTCCCATACAACAAAATGAAATAAAATAAAAGCTGGTAGGTGAACTAATGGCTGATTTTAACTATTTGATGCCTGGAGTTCCTATGCTTGGGGCCAGGACTCAGTTTATTGCTCTAAATCAAAACAATTCCCGTGAATGCCCAATGAGGCTCTCAAATTGAGAAGTTGATTTTCGTCAGAGTAAATGAAGAATATTATTATATTTTACACGTCAATAAATCAATGTAGCCCTAATTTTGCCACGCAGGAAATCAATTCTGGTCTTTCTAACCCATCAAAGATGTTATGAACAAAGTAATTTCACAAATTATGGCAAGTAACACATTTATTGATGACTGCAGTTTAGGAATTGAGAATCTGTGCGCACTGTAATATAATATGGTGCACTGGCATGAGCTGAGTGAAATACAGATTATATGGTGAAACTGTAATGCATCATTTGCTATTAGTGGACTGGTAATAATTACCAGTTTCAAAGCCGCTCTTTTGATGTAATCTTTAGTCTCAATCGTAACAGCCCTTCTCATTGACATTATGATTACACTAGCTGCCCTCATGATCTAGAATATCTAGTTGATAGGAATACTAAAATGCGATAGTGAAAACTGTATGTTGTATGCTCATTATAAGATAAAATGCTATCTTCTCTGACCTGATGTCTGAGAGGGGAGGGTAACAGCACAGTGTGAACATAGTGTAACACTATCACATCACTGGCTCTGAAAACAAAATTTTAGGAAGTTCAGAGCAGCAAAATAAAATGGACTTTGCTTGTTTAAGCCTTTTGGAAAGGATACAGGTGAGACCCTTGATGCAGGGCTGTGCACATTTTGGCACTGATCCGTAGCCGTGGTCAACGTGCATGCAAAACCAGATTGCTAATTATGGGTCCAGTCCTGGGATTCAGTAGGATATCATAAGCGAAAATATGATTTTAAGGCATTTGGAGTGATGAAAGTGTTAAGGACTTGTTTCAGCTGACAAATCTCCTCTTTACTTATCCAATCCGGATTGTCAGGCTAAATGTATGATAATAACACAGAGTCCTAGAGAGGCAAAGGAGAAAGCCACAGAGGGTCATGTTAGTTGGAACCAGATAGGTTTTTTCCCTGCCTATTTAGAACCCAAGTCATTGTTCAACAACAACAAAAAATTTATGAAAATACTCTCAATGATGCTTTTTATTTCCCTTTGAAGAAAGGAGGCAAACAAAAATAGGCAGATAATGTGATACTAATGTCAGCGTTTTCTTTCAAAATCTTTCTGCCTTTTTTTTTTTTTCCTCCCTCCACATTAGGCAAATGTTGGAAACCTAATTTTGGTATCTTATCATCTAATCTTGTTAAAGAGATTTACCCAGGAGTGGGATATATTGAGTGAGATTATAAATGCATTGTAAAGTAAATCACAAGGTCAGGGCAGGGAGTCCATTATTCAGACAAGTGCTCTGAGCAAGGCTGGCTTGTTTGGGAATGCAAGTGTTGGGGCTCCTGAGAAGACCCTGCCAGCTTTTCTTTCTGACTTGCTAAATGGAGGAATCGTCGTAATTGATTAATTCCCACTCTTTAGCTCCATGGTGGATTTTTTTTTTTTGCTTTTAAAAAAGTTACTGACAAATACTAGCTGGGGCCTTAAGCGACTCCTCTAGTCCCCCCTTTTAAAAGACTGGCTAAAGTTTATTTATCATTTGTACTTTATGCACTGGCTTTTTGAGAATCCCTGGGAAGTTCATCTATTTTTTCTCAACCTTGTCCTTTGGCCACCAATATTTGGGCCCTTTTTAATGCTGTAGTTGACTGGTAAACTGTTAGTTAGTCCCTTGGTGTATATATATATATATTTTTTTAAATTTAGCTATCTCCAAAAATGAATGATCGTGAAGTCAAGCTGGCCCCCTCTTTGCCAAAGTGGCATTTACCACTCTCGGGTTCTTTTCAGCGAGAGAGAAATAATGTGACTTAAGCAGGGCCCCTCTCCAGACGGCTTGGCTACTGGCCAAAGAGTTGACTAGCTGAACTGTATCTTTCTGTTTCTTTCTCAACTGGAGCTGAGGCTCAGCCGAGGGCGCAGGATGTTGTATAATTTGGTTCTCGTTGTTAGCCTCTCAAAATAATGAGGAGGAGGATAGTGTAGCATTTCTCAGCCTGCTGCCCGTCATGGTGCTGGCTGCTTTAACTGTTCTTAAACTAGGATGCTGTGTCTGCTTAAGTTGGCACCAGCCGCTCCTCCTAACTTCTCCAGACTTGCATTTGTTTGACTGGGGGAACAACTCCTGAAGATTTGATACGGCCTGTTGGTTAAATCCAAATTAAATTTCTCTTTTGAGATTTTTTGCAACATCCCTTGAGATAAAAATGGGAGTCCCCATAGGGTGTTGTGGAACCAGGACTGGGACTCACTGATCCTCACACAAGGCTGGGATGTGAGAATGTTGCTAGTCTCTCTTCCTTGGAATTATTTTAGGAGTACCTTCCCATTTTTAACAATATCAACAATTAGTGTGTTTCAGGCTAAGATTAAAAGCATCTCCAGGGCCATAGAGAACTGTAATGAGTTGACCTTCTCTTTTTTGATATCCCTATGAAATGATTGCCTGTTTAGAAAGTTCACCTGCCACCCAGGGGAGAATAGAACGATGGGATTTAGGAAGCAGAAAAGTTTCCCTTAGGTCACCTTGTCCAAGGCCCTCACTTAACAAATGAGGAAACAGAGGCACAGAGATGAAATAGCTTGCCCCAAACCACAGCTGGTGACAGATTGGAGAGTTCAGAAGAGGTTTGCTGAGGTTCCTTAGAATGTAGGGATCCTCATTCTCAAGCTTGAATTGGTGCAGATTTCTCTGCTTTGGAGATCGGATTTAAAATTCTTAAAACCGAATGAAATGGCAGAAAGACCAATTCGACAAATATTTATTGGGCACCAGCCACCAGATGAACCAGGCACCAATTCTAGGCACAGGGAATATTATAGATCAGTGAGGGCTTAGGCCTGTGGGGTGGAGGGCTGGGGGCAGGGAAGGCTGGAGGTGAACCATAAATAAGCAATTGCTAACGTCCTCCTCCGCGATTAAACATTGATGTTGGTGTTGTATTATTTTGCAGGTAAAGATGAGCCCAGCAGCTACACATGTACAACTTGCAAACAGCCATTCACCAGTGCATGGTTTCTCTTGCAACACGCACAGAACACTCATGGATTAAGAATCTACTTAGAAAGCGAACACGGAAGTCCCCTGACCCCGCGGGTTGGTATCCCTTCAGGACTAGGTGCAGAATGTCCTTCCCAGCCACCTCTCCATGGGATTCATATTGCAGACAATAACCCCTTTAACCTGCTAAGAATACCAGGATCAGTATCGAGAGAGGCTTCCGGCCTGGCAGAAGGGCGCTTTCCACCCACTCCCCCCCTGTTTAGTCCACCACCGAGACATCACTTGGACCCCCACCGCATAGAGCGCCTGGGGGCGGAAGAGATGGCCCTGGCCACCCATCACCCGAGTGCCTTTGACAGGGTGCTGCGGTTGAATCCAATGGCTATGGAGCCTCCCGCCATGGATTTCTCTAGGAGACTTAGAGAGCTGGCAGGGAACACGTCTAGCCCACCGCTGTCCCCAGGCCGGCCCAGCCCTATGCAAAGGTTACTGCAACCATTCCAGCCAGGTAGCAAGCCACCCTTCCTGGCGACGCCCCCCCTCCCTCCTCTGCAATCCGCCCCTCCTCCCTCCCAGCCCCCGGTCAAGTCCAAGTCATGCGAGTTCTGCGGCAAGACGTTCAAATTTCAGAGCAACCTCGTGGTGCACCGGCGCAGCCACACGGGCGAGAAGCCCTACAAGTGCAACCTGTGCGACCACGCGTGCACGCAGGCCAGCAAGCTGAAGCGCCACATGAAGACGCACATGCACAAGTCATCCCCCATGACGGTCAAGTCCGACGACGGCCTCTCCACCGCCAGCTCCCCGGAACCCGGCACCAGCGACCTGGTGGGCAGCGCCAGCAGCGCGCTCAAGTCTGTGGTGGCCAAGTTCAAGAGCGAGAACGACCCCAACCTGATCCCGGAGAATGGGGACGAGGAGGAAGAGGAGGACGACGAGGAAGAGGAAGAAGAGGAGGAAGAGGAGGAGGAGGAGCTGACGGAGAGCGAGAGGGTGGACTACGGCTTCGGGCTGAGCCTGGAGGCGGCGCGCCACCACGAGAACAGCTCGCGGGGCGCGGTGGTGGGCGTGGGCGACGAGGGCCGCGCCCTGCCTGATGTCATGCAGGGCATGGTGCTCAGCTCCATGCAGCACTTCAGCGAGGCCTTCCACCAGGTCCTGGGCGAGAAACACAAGCGCGGCCACCTGGCCGAGGCCGAGGGCCACAGGGACACTTGCGACGAAGACTCGGTGGCCGGCGAGTCGGACCGCATAGACGATGGCACTGTTAACGGCCGCGGCTGCTCCCCGGGCGAGTCGGCCTCGGGGGGCCTGTCCAAAAAGCTGCTGCTGGGCAGCCCCAGCTCGCTGAGCCCCTTCTCCAAGCGCATCAAGCTCGAGAAGGAGTTCGACTTGCCCCCGGCCGCGATGCCCAACACGGAGAACGTGTACTCGCAGTGGCTCGCTGGCTACGCGGCCTCCAGGCAGCTCAAAGATCCCTTCCTTAGCTTCGGAGACTCCAGACAATCGCCTTTCGCCTCCTCGTCGGAGCACTCCTCGGAGAACGGGAGCTTGCGCTTCTCCACGCCGCCCGGGGAGCTGGACGGAGGGATCTCGGGGCGCAGCGGCACGGGAAGTGGAGGGAGCACGCCCCATATTAGTGGTCCGGGCCCGGGCAGGCCCAGCTCAAAAGAGGGCAGACGCAGCGACACTTGTGAGTACTGTGGGAAAGTCTTCAAGAACTGTAGCAATCTCACTGTCCACAGGAGAAGCCACACGGGCGAAAGGCCTTATAAATGCGAGCTGTGCAACTATGCCTGTGCCCAGAGTAGCAAGCTCACCAGGCACATGAAAACGCATGGCCAGGTGGGGAAGGACGTTTACAAATGTGAAATTTGTAAGATGCCTTTTAGCGTGTACAGTACCCTGGAGAAACACATGAAAAAATGGCACAGTGATCGAGTGTTGAATAATGATATAAAAACTGAATAGAGGTATATTAATACCCCTCCCTCACTCCCACCTGACACCTCCTTTTTTCACCACCCCCCCTTCCCCATCGCCCTCCAGCCCCACTCCCTGTAGGATTTTTTTCTAGTCCCATGTGATTAAACAAACAAACAAACAGAAGTAACGGAAGCTAAGAATATGAGAGTGCTTGTCACCAGCACACCTGTTTTTTTTTTTTCTTTTTCTTTTTTTCTTTTTCTTTTTTTCCTTTATGTTCTCACCGTTTGAATGCATGATCTGTATGGGGCAATACTATTGCATTTTACGCAAACTTTGAGCCTTTCTCTTGTGCAATAATTTACATGTTGTGTATGTTTTTTTTTTTTAAACTTAGACAGCATGTATGGTATGTTATGGCTATTTTAAATTGTCCCCGATTCGTTGCTGAGCAAACATGTTGCTGTTTCCAGTTCCGTTCTGAGAGAAAAAGAGAGAGAGAGAGAAAAAGACCATGCTGCATACATTCTGTAATACATATCATGTACAGTTTTATTTTATAACGTGAGGAGGAAAAACAGTCTTTGGGTTAACCCTCTAAAGACAGAATAGACAGCACTGAAAGAAAATCTCTATGAGCTAAATGTCTGTCTCTAGAGGGTTAAATGTATCAATTGGAGAGGAAAAAAAAAAGGCCTTGAATTGACAAATTTTAACAGAAAAACAAAACAAGTTTATTCTATCATTTGGTTTTAAAATATGAGTGCCTTGGATCTATTAAAACCACGTTGATGGTTCTTTCTACTTGTTATAAACTTGTAGCTTAATTCAGCATTGGGTGAGGTAAGAAATCTTAGGACCTAGCATATAATTCTATATTGTATTTCTCACAACAATGGCTACCTAAAAATATGACCCACTATGTCCTAGTTAATCATCATTTTCCCTTTAGTTTAATCTTATAAGCAAAACTGATTATACCAGTATAAACGCTATTTTGCTCCTGGTGAGAGCTTAAAAGAAATGGGCTGTTTTGCCCAAAGTTTTATTTTTTTTTTAAATGATGATTAAATTGAATGTGCAACGTGCAAAAGCCCCGGAATACAATTAAATACATTAGTAAGGAGTTCATTTTATGAAGATAACTTAAATAATGTCTGTTCAAAAAATTCTGGCACCAAAAGAAATAGATCCAGATCTACTTGGTTGTCAAAGGGACAATCAAATGATAAACTTTAAGACCTCGTAGACCATATTAAAAAGAAGAGACTGACAATAAGGTTTGACAGGAGGGTAACAGAGGAAGAAAATACGTGATCTTTTAGCACAACGTGGTACTATTTGCCATTTTAAACTAGAACAGGTGTATAAGCTAATATTGATACAATGATGATTAACTATGAATTCTTAAGACTTGTGTTTAAATGTGACATTCTTAAAAAAGAAGAGAAAGAATTTTAAGAGTAGCAGTATATATGTCTGTGCTCCCTAAAAGTTGTACTTCATTTCTTTTCCATACACTGTGTGCTATTTGTGTTAACATGGAAGAGGATTCATTGTTTTTATTTTATTTTTTTAATTTTTTCTTTTTTATTAAGCTAGCATCTGCCCCAGTTGGTGTTCAAATAGCACTTGACTCTGCCTGTAATATCTGTATCTTTTCTCTAATCAGAGATACAGAGGTTGAGTATAAAATAAACCTGCTCAGATAGGACAATTAAGTGCACTGTACAATTTTCCCAGTTTACAGGTCTATACTTAAGGGAAAAGTTGCAAGAATGCCGAAAAAAAAAAATTGAACACAATCTCATTGATGAGCATTTTTAAAAAAAAAAAACTAAAAAAAAA